TTTCTCTTCTCTTCTCTTCTCTTCTCTTCTCTTCTCTTCTCTTCTCTTCTCTTCTCTTCTCTTCTCTTCTCTTCTCTTCTCTTCTCTTCTCTTCGGTTTTTCAAGACGGGTTTCTTTGTGTATCCTTGACTGTCCTGGAGCTCGCTCTGTAGACCAGGTTGGCCTCCAACTCAGAGATCCGCCTGCCTCTGCCTCTGCCTCCTGAACGCTGAGATTAAAGGTGTGTGTGCTCCACCGCCTGACTGGCAGTGGAAATTCTTTTTGAGATCTCACTTAGATAATATTTTCATATACATTTCTTTGATTGTAAGTGCAACGAGGAGCTTCCTGTTCGTTCACTAGCTGTGGGGGTGCTAATAATGGATACATCTCACTCTTATTACCCTCTGCTATTAAAGTGAGAACATTCCTGGTTCCCATGCTGCTGAGTGAGGACTGTGCAGAATGGCTAGCTAGCTCTGTCAGTGGTGTGCCCAAGCAGATGACAGAGGAAACAAAATGGCGTTGCCCTTGCTGCCTGTGAGTCTCTTAAAAGCACTGTGTATGTGAAGTCATTATTTCTATAATGCCCTGGTGGGTAGGCTCTGTTATGGACAACTTCATTCTAAGGCATAGAGTCTAGGTGTGTCTCTACACCATTAGAAAGTGGCAGAATTGGGATTAAAAACCCTCAACGATCTATGCCATTGGCTGTTGTGTCTTGCCGCCTCTGCTACTGAGGCTGTGAAAGCAGGGCTCATTATTAAGGACTACATTATTAAGTTTACCCAGTCAACATTGTTTTTCATTGGCCTTCCCGACTGCTACTACCATTTTCAAAGTAACAGTAGTCAAGAAAATGCGAATTCTGACACCATTTTAATCAATACCATGAGGATCGTTTTCTGTGTTTGTGAGGCTTGGGATGGAGATAAGTGGGAAGTGCTCAGATTCATGTTTTTTTTTTTTTTTTTTTTTTAGATGAAAGACCCCTGAGTGGGTGATGAGTTCTTATTAGAGGGAGGAAATTGAAGGGGGAAATGTACTTGTATTTTAATTTCAAAAAATAAAAAATATTTACACAGTAATCAGGATGCTTCTTTAACCTCTCCTGCATGTATCTCTCTTCTTTTGCTAATTTTTCAGCCTGTATTTTTAATGGGATGCACATATTGCATACACATATATTGTGTAGCATCGTGTTTTAAAGTGTGTTCTTTGTGGAATGGCCACACCATGCTATTGACCATGAACATTATAATACTTAGACTGTCTTAGCAGTTTTCAGTATATTGACTAGTTATCTTGAGTCTTCCCCCGAATTGGAATTTTGATACTTTTGACTGAAGCCTTGCTGTCGCCCGTGGCCTCTGAGATCTGCCTTCTTCCTCTCTGTTTCCCTGAGCCCGGCAGGTTTACACCCCACATGTAGGTGGGCTCGTGAGATAGAGTGCTGTGTTTGATGAAAATCTCTTGTGTGAATTGAAAAGCAGAAACCATGAAAAGTGGTTTTACAGGGCTGGAGAGATGGCTCAGCAGTTCAGAGAAACGGCTGCTCTTCCAAAGGACCTGTGTTCAATTCCCAGCACCCACATGGCAGCTAGCAACTGTCTGTAACTCCAGTTTCAGGGGACCCGACACCCTCACCACCCAGACATACACTCAGGTAAAACATCAATGCACATAAAGTAAATAGTCTTTAAAAAAAAAAAAGAGGTGGTTTTTACATTTAAAGGTGTTGAATGCAAATCTAAAATTATAACTTACTAGTTTAGGTTTTAAGACTGAGGTTTTCCCCATTTTTAACTGATTTCATACATGCAATAATGTGTGAATAATATAATTATATGTGTGAGTACATAAATAATGACATTTAATTTGTTTTTGGTGTATTTTTTTTAATGAAAAAGAAAACTTTTTCCATATGTAATTTTTGATTCAGTAACTTTTGTTTTGACCACACAAAATGAGAGAGTCTCTCCCAGCACTCTGGCCCTGGCATTGCGCCTTTGTGATAATGCTCTGTCTGAAGTGTTCTTCATCTCCTGGTAGCACTCTCCCACAAATTAAGAGTGAGGATTGTGGTTTTCTTGACAGATGCTGGAGGCAGACTGGAGTCATAGGACCTCTTATCATAGTAAATTTTATAGATGGGAAAGACTTTATTTTAACCAAAGCCCTTTTTTTGGGGGGGGGGCGTAGATTAAAGATTGGAGTGCTTATGGCCATAATCTTATTTTTTCCTCAGACTTTTGATTCTCCTTAAATTCTATAAAGATTGTAGTTTTCAGTTACAGTTTATCAGGAAGAAAGTGACCAATAATGAACCCACTTACTGCCTTTGGCTTTTGCAAAAGAAACTCAAGCTCCTCACACACAATTTAGGGGAAGAATCTTTGCTTAGTTCAGCATTTAGACATTTGTCCTGGTCATTATTGGCCCGAGGAAAATAAAATAAACGAAAAGCAGGCAAATTTTAGAAAGATTTATAGCAGGATGTTCTTATAAAACCAGAAAGTTTAAAATCTGGTTGATTTAAACCAGAAATGCTTGCTGCTTTGCTCTCAAATATTTATAAAGCGCTAAATACTTTTTGTGCCCTTTTCTGATGGCTCACAGATTATTGCTCTGGATCGCCCTGCCCTACCACTCCCCTTGACACAGGACCCTCTCTCCTTCACAGCTGGCTCCTGCCTGGGGGACTAGGCTGCCGGTTTTCTTATCTTTCGTGGGATTCAGCTCCATGGAGGAAGTGCTGTTGTTCAAGATTCAAGGCGGTTACCATCCATATTCACGAGCATGATCTGCTCTTTTTGAGAAACATTGAGTAAGATATTCAAAGTTACTTTCCACGTAATAAATAATGTAATGGGATATGTCAACCCTTCTGGAAACAAATATTTTAAAGTAAGGAGATTAATCAAATCAACCCTTTATTTAAATATGACTTTTCCATTTTGCTTACGGCTTGAGGGTGTCTAGAAGGAACTTTACATGTCATTTGGTTAAAACTTGGCATAGTTTTCTGAAGTTTTTCACTGTTTTAGATTATTAATCTATAAGGAAAGAGGGAAAGCGTTTTCCTGTATCAAATTTGAACACGTTGTGCTTTGGGGTTCTATAAAATATTCAGTTCTAGTTGCCACCTTTGCAGGCAAACGAGGCAAGAAAACTTCCTGTGAACCTGCTTGGATAGGGAGAATATTGAGGTCATGTCGTCTTGGTGCAAGTAATTTCTTATTTTCCTTAACAGTAGTGTTATTTGTAATGTCTTGAGAGGGAGTCTTAGGAGTCATAGGTGTGTGGGAAATACACGTACATGCACATGCCTGCTCTTATACCCCCACACACCTGAACCATGTTTTCATGATAGTTTCACTGCTAGCATTAGTCAAGAACCATAGGTTGCTTTTGTCACACTATGATACAGCATCATTTACAGCATGCAGAATATCCAACATGATAGCTTAAGTGACTCATCTAAACAAACAACAAAAAAATCACATAGAGTTAGAAAGGAGAAAATAGTATTTTAAACATTGATGCTTTTAATATTTCTAACCATTGTCCCTTTGGTTTAATTGTCCCTGAGAAGTTTCATTTGCTTAAATCTGAGAGCACTAGCATGACCTTGCTGCAGGTGGGCTCACTTCTGAGACCATCCATCTTGGGGATGGATGCTTTTCCTAACCTGGGGTTTGCTGTCAAGTGTGTCTGCACAGGGCTCAATTGATACATCTCCATTTCTTAATGAGGAGTTTGGTCTTAAATGTAGTGAACCTTCTCACTGTGAGGCTGTTACCTAAGGCTCAAAATCCATCATAATTACCATTTCTCTTAAACACCCATCATTAAGGAGCGTACAGAATGCTTGCCTTAAAAGGATAGTTTCATGGAGATTGCTTCTTGGGTATATGTCAGCACAAAATGAAATCCCCAGGGTTAAGAAAAACGCAGCACTTACACACGGAAGAGTGGTAAAAATCCACATTCAAATCCAGCCGACTGAAAGGCAGCTAAACGGGTTGCATGTTGGTCCAACCACAGAGGCAGCCGGCTCTGTGCCCTGCTGATCTTTGGGGGTGATTTCTCCCTCTGGTCATGTGTTACCACTGAGAAGCAGGAACCCATTATGAGAGAAGTAGCTCATTTTGCCCAGACGTGGATACACATCTAACTCTGGGCTAAAAATTTTAAGGAGTTGGCTTGAAGCAAAAAAATAAAAAAATAAAAAAAAAATAAAAAAATAAAATGAAAGCAGTCATACATTAAAATAAAAACCCTGCATCATGATTTATTGACTTTGGCTGTATCAATTTGCTAAATCCCATGGATGTGATTTAGGAAGAATCCTGTTTTAAGAAGCTCCACTCCCTTTAATTTGACATGACTAAACCTGAAGCCTTCTGGAAACCACAGTGCAGAATGTTTTTCTTTTCCCCTAGAGTTTTCGTCCATTTGCGTTTAGAAGTGTAACATTAGCTCTTGTGGAGACTAAGGACTAATTTTGGAGTATTTCTAGATAATGAAAGCCTCGTTCCAGAAGCAACTCGAGCATCCTTTGCCTCGGATTAAGTGCGGTCCTTCTGGATTCCATGCTTGGAGGCCCACGATGATGGACCTGCAGCTCTGTAGAGCTTCAGTCTTCCCTCATTCGCTCTTCTGTAGACTGCTGGGCTGTTTTACTTTCAGGCATTAGACATGTCGCATTGCAGCTTCACAAAAAATAGAATTGAGGAGATTGTCTGGATTTTTTTCCCCCCCAATCTGGAATGACATTTGTTTCTAGCTTGGGTGGTGGAGGCTGCTAAGACCCAATTTAAAATTCCCCTGCCCTGCACAGGTGGGAAGCAGCCCCCGCCTGCATTCTGAGACACCCGCGTTGCTCCGTGTTCGAACTTTGTTGGGTCTTGACACGGAGGGTGCTTCTTGTCTTTGTGGTTGTGGCTGGACCATTTCCTCTCCATCGTAAATTCTCAAATCACGATTCAAAAGCTAGGACACTAAAGGAACCTGAGGCGTTTCCAAATTTCAGATTGATAGTGTGTACAGCGCTGTTTAAGGGGGAACTGACCTGGGCTTCCTGCCTATAATCCCTCACCAGTTACCACTTGTATTTTATCCTTCAATGAGTGTGGATGTGTGCTGTGTGGCAAAGGACTCTGAAACATGTCACTTCTCAAAATTCTAATGACCTTGCATGGAAACAGTCCTCCTATACCAGTTTTTACTGAAAGTTATAAAATGATGGATACCTACCCAGTGCTGAAATTCTTGGAGTGAATTTAGAATGAGTGACTGGAGGCTGTTTGGATGTGAGGTCTTTGTTCCCCAGTTTGGGAACGGCTGAGTTCACGTGACTTGCGCCTTTTTACACTGGGCGACGAGTGGGAAGTTTCAGGGTGAGTGTGCTGTCTACACTCCCCAGGCTCCGCATTCTGGGACATCTGGACCTTCTGTGTGCATCACGTTCTCCGGGCCTCCTATCACTGGTTAAAAGAACGTGGCACGCAGGTGTTTAAATTATTCATCGTCATAATTGGCCTTTATGTTCCAGTGCCTGGCCAGACCCCTGTTATTCTAGTGCATAATTGATGGTGCTCAGAAGTGGAAAAGTTAGAAAAGCGGAAGTAATGCGACATAGCAGTGCGGCGAGGTGGTGGGGCTGTACCAGCAGGGCTGCCAGGAGCTGGACCACAGCTGGCGGCAGAGGACACGCCACTCCAGGTCTGCAGCTCCATGTGTCCCTTGTCAGGATGTTTCCCCCTGCGACTTAACTTTGTCCACGCAAAGAGGGACAGGAAAGGGGGACCGAGCCGGCAGCACGTCAGGTCTCTTGCCGCCAAAGTTCATGTCTGAACCTGGCTCCCACTAGAACTGGTTTTGTGTAGTTTGTAGATTTTGGAGGAGCAGTCACTTCCAGAAAAGGACCCTGAATCTTGGTTTGAGGATCATGAAAGCAAGGAGAAACATTTAAGAGCCGGAGTGTGCTTTACAAAGTAAACTTAGTGTAAAGCATGGAAGGACTTTGCTTTAGACCTCTGTGTGCCGTTTCTTGGCGAGAAAGACATGAAAGATATTCGGCCATGTACATAAAAGTGCACTTGTATTGAGAATGCGTTTAGAGAAGATTAAATGCATAGAAAGAAGAATTGCTGAATTATGAAGTGATTTCTAAAATGTAATCTTGGCCAAGTTATTTTGAAAGAATAACTATTTAAATTTTAACCTAATTTAAATAAAATATTCTGGGCACATGAGTAGATTAGGAAAATATTTTCAAAGAATAGCTTCCACAACCATAACAGACATCTGTGATGGTTAAGAAGTTATTATTTCCATCCTTGGAGGGTGTTTATTTAGAAAACACCCTCTCAGTTTTCTGTTACAAGCTTGAGAAGGAAAGGGCAAAGGATGGGAGAGAGACATTCATCCCAGGATAAAAATTAGTGAGGGTTTTGCTTTGTTGTGTTTTTAAATGCTGACGGGAAAGCTTGTGGAAGACTTGCTTGAAGCATCTTCTTGAATTTGAATAATAGAGACCATGGAAGCCCGAAGAAGAGGGAGAAAGGATGCTGGAGTGGAGAATAAGAAGGAAGGTGGGGAGAGTGTGTCAGAGGGAGAAGGACCAGGAGAGTTGGCAGGGCAGGGGTTGGAAGTTTAGTGTTGAGAACACCGAAGGAGCCAGGCTTTGCCAGCCTGTTCAAGTGAAGTTTTCCCTGCTGGGGTTTTTGCCCAAGTGTTACAGTTCTTTGTGTATTGTGCCATTTTTTTTTCTTTTCTTACACAGAAGAATATAATATACAAAGAAGTGAAGTAGGCTAGAAAGAGAGACAAGAAAATAGTGGAGGGCAAGTGAGAAAAAGAAGAGAGGGGAGGGGCCGCGGGACACAGAAGTTCAAGTAAAGATGGAGAAAATAAGGCCGTTGGAAGGAAGGCGTGGGGAGATGGGAAGGGGCAGGGGGAGACCCGAGAGGGTGAGGTGGGTGGTTCTTCCCCACATTGCTCTTCTCTGTTGTGAGCACCGCTCTGTCACCGCTGGCTGTAAGGCGGTGCAGGGTGGCTGGCTTCACATCCTGTGTCCCAGGAGTTCCCAGAGAGATGGAGAAGGGTTGCTTTTCCATTGGTTGAACTGTCTGCTTTGCTGAAGAGCCAGTGTTCTTCCTGGTAAGCCTCAGTGAATAAAAGCAGATGGAGCCTGAAAAAAATTTCAAGCAACTCTCAGCTATTCAAATACACAGTTTGTGCTGTGAAAAAGGACCACAGCTGGAACCTTGATGAGCTTTTGGTAACTTTGCCCACCTCCATTTTCCTGCTATAAGGAAATTAATACTCAGTGCCAGTTATAATGTTTTTCAAATGTGGCCAAATATTTTGCCTGTAGAGATAATTTAAGAGAGTTTAAACACATTCTCTTATTTTTTGCTAGGAATTTGTACATGTGTAGCTCTCCATATTATGCTTCTTCACCATGAAATGTTTTGATAGCAATTACTTATTTCACATCCATCTAAAATCTAAGAGAAGAGTTATTATTGTTTGGTGTCGAGAAAAATCAGTTGTCATGTGGTTGTCTATAAATATAAATGCTTTCAGTTTTCCATGGGAAATTTTATGTGTATATAAAAGACACATGTGAGACTACACACATGAACTAAAACGTGTGAGCATATATATTATTATGTACCCTATATACATGTACATGAAAAAGACAGGGCAAAGTATATTTAATAGAACTTATTTTTCAGGGCAGATTTAAGTTCAAGTGAAATTGAATGGACATAGAGATTACCCACATGCCCTTGTCCCATACAATGACCCCCCCCAATATATTTGTTGCATATGATACACTTACACTGAGACACTATTAGACACCAAAGTTCATAGTTTTTATTATGGTTCACTCCCTGTGTTCTGCCATCTATGGATTTGGAGAGTTATGTGCTGGTATGTATTGACTATTACTGCATCCCGCATAGTAACTATCTGCTCTAAAACACCATGCCTATTAATTCCATGTGTGTAGACAGATAATGTACCACGTGACATTTTGGTCAGTGGCAGACATCTTCTACCGCAGTGGTCCTGTAGCATGATATTATTTAGTGAGGTTCCATCTGTCTTATTCCAGGAAAATACACCCTTATGTTCTTACAATGACAAAGCCGTCTAATGATTAATTTGTCAAACATATTCCTGTTATTGAGTGAGTCATAATTGTATATAAAAATGACACAGCTTAATGCATTTAAAACATACTTTTCTTTTTCTTCTCGACTTATTACTTTAGATAAAGAATATTCAGAGTTATTAATCACTTGTTAATATTTAAGATAACATTAAGTAGGATGCTAAACACGATTTTGGTGAATATTGACAGCTATAAAATCTTGGTTTTATTAAAATAATAGCATGTACACATAGAAAATTTCAGAACATACGTAACATCTAAGAATTCCAAAACTTTGTAAACATCCCCTTCCCATCATTTTTACTTAGGATGCCTAGAAACTGCATTTTATTTACATGTAGACATGGAAACAGTTATACAAGACAGTTTGTCCAGTCTTTATATGCATCGTTTGTACATGATTTTGTCTTAAAATTGTAATACTAATAAATCATGTCATTGTCCTTACTTAATCTTAAAAATGCTGCCTTATTTGTCCTAAGGGTGACATTCTCATTTCACGGGACTCAAATGCCTGGGTGAGAGACAGTTTGCATGGGACTCACATCTGCCTTATTTTAGTGTTGATATTTCTTCATTGGGTTACATTGTGGTTTATTGTTCAGGGGCTATTACTCATTGTCTGTGTAGTATTTAGTATTTACCAGAGGTTCTCTGGATACAATATAGTGTGGCATTTTCAGTACCGAATAGATTAGTTGCCTTCATAGACCATGAATAGCTTGTAGTCTTAAGAAACAAGAAATGCTTAGATGTTCCATATGCTCAGTGACAAATTTTCATAATGAATGGACTGGGGAAAATGAAGCAAGAGATAGCTACTCAGTGCATGCAAAACATTTACTCTAGGTGTCTTGTGTTTTGAGTTTCATTTTTATATGCTAATAACATTTTTGAGTATGTCTAGCGTGAACTTTCTAAAGTGCTACAATGTGCATAACTTAATAGGCCTCTTACTTCATTTTTTTTTTAAAGTTAAAATTTCTCTAGGTGCTGGTAATCCGCTGCATTCGATTCCAGTGGGACTTAGGCATCACAACATAACTGGCTTACTTTAGAATTTAGAGTATAAGTTCCAGAATCCAAAGCCAATCACTGGCTTTGTACTTGTAGACAAGTTCTTCAACTTCTCGAATCATCACACCCGCCTGTGAAATAGGAATGCTAATGGTACCAGGTGCTCCCCGGTGGCATTTCACAGGTGGCATTAGTAAGTGTGGATGCCATGCACAGAGTGTGCAGTTCCATGCACCAGCATGTCAAGCCTGCATTCTCGTTTGAAGGATGCATTATGGAAGTAATGTCTCGATCATGCTAATGCTTCTTAAAAATTCATTCTCATTGAGCAATTACATATTTTAAAGCTAAATATTGTACCTCCCTGATGGTGCAAGCAAATGTACTTCATAAACTGACAGTGAACGGTGCTAAAGATTAGGACTTACTTTCCTGGAGTGTAAACAAATCTTCGTAACTTGTGTAAACACCGTCTAACATTTACAATGGAGATCTGTCATAATATAAAGCACATGATTCAAAAAAGAAACATTACGATTAAATGTATATCAGTGCATTTACAGCTGAGAATTGATGCCTCATGACACAGAAACAGTGGCTGAATGCTCTTTAATTGCTAATGTCTTCTCCTCCTCAGTAGCATCCTCATTTAGTTTGGAGTGTTATAAATGACCAGGCACTATTGAATGAAGCTTTGACTAGCGTTTTGTTGAGTGAAAATGTAAACTCTGATAAAGGCATCTGCATGCTAAACTCTCCCTCAGTGACAGTCTGACATTGATTATTATATTTATGTGAAGAATGTGGGAGTTGTATCACTGCTGTTCTAGAGGAGTGTGGGAAGCTCATCAGATCACTCGGGTACTCGAGTGTTGTTACCCTGGGGTAATAGTTTTAAATTAACTGCACCAAAGTTAACAGAAAAAAATAAACCACAGAAAAGGACTCACTCAACTAAAGCTATGTCTAGAAGGCCAGGCATTTAAAAAGCGAGCGGTTTTTTGTTTGTTGTTGTTGTTTTTGTTTTTGAGATTATAATTACATCATCTCTCCCTTCCCTGCCTCCCTTCAAACTCTCCTATGCCTCCTGCGTTGCTCTCTTTCAAATTCATGGCCTCGTTTTCTTTAATTGTTGTTACATATATGTGTACATATATTCCTAAACGTACAAAAGGAACAGGGGTGATAC